GTACAAGAACCGTGTTAGTACATGGGAAAAATCTTGCATAATAAAACATATTTATGTGCTTGTTCAACGAACATTTATTTGTTAGTTCTAGAAGCGAAAAAATCCATGTTCGTCACCACTTTGGTAGCTGTCATTAGCTCTCTCAATCGATTGCTCATGCTGATTTTGGTTGCAATGAATGAATTGGCCATTATCCAGTTTACTTGATCACATCTTCACATTTGTAAGCAAATGGAATGCTCCGAATCGCTGGTAGAACTTCTTTAACATTTCCTAAACAGATTTGTGATTTCAGGCCATGGAATGATATGGAAGGAAAGGCAGTAAAATGTAAATTGACTCCGTCTCGTCATATGTGTATTGGTTCTTTATACATTCCATAATGTCACAAATATCGCTCGTCTTGGTCTAAAGTGTCGACAAAATCGGGATGGGATCGCGTTTAATTATATTTCTACTGCAGTGCTGGCAATGGCAAGCGCAGTGTAATGTGATTCGCTACGTTAAGTGCATTTAAGCCCAGGAGCAATAAAGTCGAATCGGTGAACGCTCAAGATATTTTATTGTACACGATTCCTGCTGAGACCTCGTCGTCAGCCTTCACATGAACTCTGAGTATGCAGCCCTGCTGCCAAACTGCGACTGCGATATATTAGCATATAGTCCAAGTAAAATGAGGCTCGCATTCCATTTTTTGTTGCGATTTATGCAACATATTGGAGAAAATATTCCAGGTATCGTATCGTACCAACCACCAATAGATGTGAAACGTTAATACTTGCAGTAACCTAAATGCTTTAAAATGTTGCGCAAGGAATAGTAAACTTAATTTCTATTCAATTTGGGGGTGAAACCAACTACCGGCAATTGGGTACTCTTTTTGATGCAATCGTAGTTATATTTTATAGGCCAACTCATAAAATCTTTAATCGAGTAAAATGCATTATATGGGTAATGCAATCTACTGCCCTTCTACTTTTTAGGATTTAGCTTTTCCATTTTCCAGCAGCATACGCGTATCAGATTCGAATCACACGACCAATACTCTTTCCACTAATACGCACGTTCAAATCCTTTTACAGGAGAAGAGGGCATAGATTTATTTGGCCTTCCATTCAACCACAAAGTTGCCATGCATAGATATATGCAAATGCCATACATGGCTGCATATTGGAACGGATTAGCAAAACACAAACGACAAGCACCCACCCACCTACAAAATTCGCCACTTACATGTTCACCATGATTTCATGGTGAACATGTAAGGATGTGACACCTGACATCGTCGTCCTAAGCGCATTTCCATGAGAGCTCCGTGCAAATGTGCAAGTGCAACTTCTTTAAGCCCCGTGACAGCGGAATTTCCTTCACAATCCTGCACAATTTATCCTTTTGTAAATTCAACCAGCAGCGTACGTCTTACTCATATTTTGATTAGACCGGCACATTTTATATTACTGACGAATTATTAATATTTCGTTTAATGCAGTAAAACTATGACATATCCAAACTTCTTGGTAAGAGTTTGCTCTGTCTGAGATGCATCATCATCGTCCTGAATTAAAATACTTATCACAACATGGTCTGATCTACTGCCAGTCTTGTGTCGGCATTCATGAATATTGAATTTCACTCGTCGGCTCAGTTTGATATATGTATTTATATCCTATAAAAAATGACATCTCTGAGAGCCTGCTGCTGCACTACGAAATGGACTTGTTGCCAATCAGATCATCTACTTAGCATCCATGGCAGATCTTGCTTAAAACACACACATAAAAATAATCTGTTGCAATGCTGTAATATTTTTCGAAAGGAGCAGTAATAATACTTATGCATACTCTAAATAGATCACATACCCGGTCGTTGTATAAGAACAACTTCTGTGTGTGTGTTTTTGTCTTATGTAGCAATATGTCTCTTTGCATATTTTATAGATGTGATATATTTAATATCCTGAAAAATGTGTATACGCAAATGTTTAGGAGTAAGCACACAAAAGTATAAAGTCGCAGTTTGTATCGTTTTAGTGGTTGTTAAAAATCTAAAGTAGAAAGCAAACATGCCAAAAAGGAAACACTATAAAACATAACGCTTAAACATCACTCATTTGGCAGTTGATGTGGGGACGAGGCAAGTTTTCAAACTGTCATGCAATTTTTTGCTTTATTGATACTTCTTTTCAACGTGAAAGAAAGGCGCAATGATTGACTGTGACTGAATATCACAAGACTACGAACATACACAAAATATTTTCTCATTTTGTCGCCAGTCAAGCACTCACTTGATCTCGGGGGTTCATTGTTGTTGCCAAACTAAATATGAAAAATAAAGTGTCCTAACGATATGTCAACTTTTTCAGTGAAACCTCCATCCTTCACTCCATCATCAAACCCTCCAAGACAGGTACAGAAAACCGAATCCTTCTAATAATCCCAATCAGTTAGCGTTTCTTCCACCATTTTCATGGAAAGTCTGGAAAAAACTTTGTTGATTGCTTTTCCTCGCCAGTTTTGGATATGTCAAATAATTCGTTTTACACAATTTCACACACCTCAAAACTTTAAGTGTTATACAAGTTTAAATTGAAATCCGTTATTAAATTATTGCACGGAGCAACTTCAACCTGGAGGCACCAAATTCCGCATGAATAACGAATGTCATGACATGAAACTTGTGAGTTACACTGGCAACTACACACACACATACAACATCCAACCTACTCTGCTGCAGAGTGCTTGCCGAGTGACTCAAGTTTTTAAGTGTTTACTCAGTTGGTGTCACTTTTTTAACGACATAAACGGAATAAGTAATGTTGCACTCATGTCAGTGTTGAATAAGAATTTGTGGATTGGGCTAAATCATTTCATTATGCATGACATATATCTGTACAAATACCACCGTCCTGTGGACACGTAACAAGTAGTTTTGTTTGCCTTGCTTCCTACTGCTACAAACTCAATCGAAATCTGAAAACTTCTTTAATGTCTGAAACACTATACTTGTGTGCTCGCATGGCTGCATAAATCCGTAGGTTATACAAACATCCATTGCATTATGAAGCAATGCAGTCATACAAATGAACTGATTAAATGGCAACGAAGGGGATTATTCCACAGTGCATAAATTCCATGTGCATTGGTGCAGTTCTGACTGCATTCTAATGAGGTGAATCAGGTGGCAAGTTATTATGGGCAAATTTCGGGTATATGTATGTATGACATATGCACATGCATGGCGACTTTGCGCATTAAAATTTGCGAGGCGCATATTAAATCTTTAATGACCCACCTTACACTTAATAAGTGAATAAATATGCGGTCAAATGTCAGGATCTGGAGGTAAGTCATTAGCGCATATGTATGTATGTAACCCATTAGGTGTTCGCCATCCAGACTTTGCAAATGGAAAATACTTTTCAATACCAAACTGGTTATATCATCGTAAATGCTACTGCTTGGCAAATCAATAATTTCACCTTTTCCAGGTTTGAACAGTCCGACTAAAGACATGTTACCGTACACCTTCTTGACTTGAAAAGAGTAAACAAAACAAGTAAATAATTCAAAATCATCATCATCCTCCCAATAAACAGAAGCACGTTATTAGAAGTAAAGCATGAAGTTAAGTGTTGCTCCTTGGAGAAACTTGGAGCCAGACCGGCATTATTATTTTCAACAAAAGTACAAACAAAGGCAAACAAAGCACTAGAAAAGTCTCCTCCACCACCATCGCCACCACAACTCGATGCCGTTACCAAGTATTTGTCTTATGGAAAAGGGTCTGAATCTGAACTACTCACAAGGCACACGAAGCAGTAGCTGTGAATAAAAGAATGGTGTGTTTGGTTGGGGGCAGAAGAAGTATAAAAAGTCAATTCTTTTTCCTAATAAGTAAGAAGCAAAACTGAGCCCGCATCAAACCCTTCACAACTGAAGTTGCACCGCATCACATTTCTCCACACTTTGAGTCTCCAGCAGCAATCACAGTAAAAAAGTAAGAAGTAGGAGACTTTTACCTGTTGACCATTGCCAGCACTCGGCGTTGCTACTACGACCATTGTTACAAGGTTTTCATATCACGGCACAGCTCTTAAGGAGCAGAACCACTTATCTACCTCCTTAATATCAGCCAGAGAGTTTATACTCGCATGTACATATATGTAGTAGATGATGGAAGAAGGAATTATACCACCATTGACGGATGGTTCATTCTTCATGCCATAATATGCGTGGTCCCCTCAACATGCATGCACCACCACTCGTATATAATAATGACTACAGAAATAGTCGTCGTAAAAAGGACCCTATTATTAGAACAAGAAGGGTATACACATACACACAATACATGAGAAGAAAGTGGTTTTTTGCCCTCCATTTTTTGTCATGAAAAACTTGGACAATCACGACGATTCAAAGCGTACACAAAACAACACAACCCGCATATTCATGCAAACCTGTCCACCAGCTCGATTTTGTCGTCCACCATATTTCAATGGAGGAAGAGTCGGTTGACAGGGACTTTTTTTCAAATTTTAATCCATACTATGTACGTACTCACTACGCTGAATTACTACATACGTAAGAAGAAATCCACGTCTAAAATTTCAGGACTGAATTTATTTTCCAAAGATGTCCAACATTACAAACACACACGCAACCAAGTTGTAAGATGCAAATGTGTACCAAGATGCCAACAACGGCCAAACGCTTACTCGCAGGTCCATTTGTTATAGAATTTTGTCAACTTTTGGATAAATCTCTTAACAAAAAGACAGGTTCGTTCGGCTTAGGAGTGTGTGACACCAAGAACAACGTCCAACCAAAAAGCATGAACTCATTGTCGGATGTAGATAGGCGAAGAGGGACGAAATCCGGCCGTAAGGTGAGTCAGGACATTCAGTGGAAAGCAACAAATGGTTAGAGAAGAGAGGAGTGAATAAGTTTTGGTGGTGGTGATGATGGTTACGTGAGCTGGCTGCATTTCTGCTGCTTGAGTCAGTTGTATCCCAGCGTTGAGAGAGTCAACGAGAACACGCGGCCCAAGCTCTCTCGCCCGGCTCTCACATTTTAAGCCACTGCTTTCTCCTCCCTGAAATAAGAAAGCTCAACAAACTACTCAACTGTTGATTTCTTCTCAAAGTTGCAGAGATTTCTGGGAAAAGTGAGAATCGAAACGTCTCAACGGAAAAGAAGTGACTTATGTCTTGCTGAATGGAGATTGGTTACACAAAATTTATTAATTTGTTTGGGACGTGGTAGAAATTAGTAATACTTATTTACTTATCGAGGACCGATAAGTGGAAATCAGGACGAATAAATCATCTGACACCAGTTACCTGTCTGTATTTCACCTCGGAAGTGGGTGCCAAGCGGTTTGTCAGCGTGGCGTGGCGTGTCTCAAGAGTTTCGATCATTGTTGCCGATTAGATCATCATTATTTACTGGATGGATAATTGCTTACGAATATTTTTTGAGTGTTCGAGTGGTGGTGGTGAAAATTGCGAGAAAGAGTGTGAGGGGTTTACTTTAGTTTTCATGCAATAATTGTGCAGAACTTGCCCGGTTTAACTGTGAGAAGGTTTGTTTTAAGTTTCTTTTTGTGTTAAAGTGAAATAGCCATCAGATTATATACATAGTGAAGCATATCCGACCGGATTGCAATAATTCGGATTATAAGGATTTGGAATTGACTTGTTTAGCAAGAGGTAAGCGCACACATTTGTGCCAAATACATATGTATGCCATATGCATAATACTTGTTATTGTTCCCTGCATTTTTCTAATGAGTCTTATTGGTTAGTATACATATCTGAATTAAATGACTCGCTCCGTCAGATGAGTGATAATTAATCCACTTCTTCTGACTTCGGATGACGCCATTGTCGTGATATCCGTACATATACGCGGAACTGGTTCATTATCTGGTTAAGATTTCCCAAACTCCAATAAATATTATTGATAGGTTTTTACTAGGAAGTAGTTCGTCATCCTCTTGACAGTAGTTAACGGTTTATCGTCGCAAGAAAATGCATAAAATTGATTTACTGCTGCATTTAGATGCATTATTTGCTACGTTTTGTCATTACCAGTTGACATAAAACTGGTCACTGGTACTTATTACTTTCATTAGCCTAGTTTATTCGCACTTGAAGAAATTGTTTCTGCATCATAATGCATACTGATACTGGCCGGCTGTAATAATTTTGATGACAACTACTGCTGCTGGTTCAATTTGCATGCAATTTTGCAAATTTCTGCTACATACATACATTCTTGGACATCCAGGAGCCAGCAGTGAGGGCGGCGACATGTCCCATGTTAAGGTTTCCTGATAAAGGGAAATGAGTTGTACATGAATTGAATTGAAATTCAGAGGAGGAATCAGCTCTTCTCTCAAAGTCTCAATTCATGATGCTTCTCAAACAAGAGCTCCTTTTCTAATGTTGTTGGTTTGCTCAAGTTATGCTATCAATGTCTGACTGTGATACGCCAATGGTGCACTTATATGCGATTTATGTGAGTGTATCTCGTGTATTTTGATTAGCCCCATTGTTATCTGTCGCTTTTTATTTATTTTCCGATGGCTCATGTTGTTTTATAGCCTCCCTTTCCGATATCTGGTTCACTTGGTGGTTGCAATGCTCCTGCCACTGCTGCTTCTTTAACCAGCTTTAACCAGAAAAATTACAAGAAAATGTGCAGGTTTATATATCCAAGTGCTCATATTTTATACAGATGCATATCCAAAAATCAGAGTGAAATGAGTGTGTGAGCATAAAACACTGCAGTCATGTCAAAAATTTGGATAAAGAGCAGCAGGCAAGTATTTAAGCAAGGATAAGGTTTTGCTTTTTCTTGGATGTTCGCTTTGTTCGTTGGTCGGTGGCATGGATCGTCGTGTATAAAAAATATGGCAAATAAATACCATGTTGTTCGTGATGTTCTTTGGGACACATCATATCATGCAACAGAGAAATGCCATTATGCTCACCCAGTGGAAGCAAACATATTCATTCAGCCTCTCTCTCTCTCCACCGTTCCATCCACCTTTCCTGTCCAACAAATTCCAATAAACTTTACATGGTCTGAAAAGGTATGAGAAGGTGGTACGGCTGAACATATAGCAAAATGTGTGTAAAAAAATCCCCTAGAAAGAGCAGCAGCAACACAACAGATAGCCCGGTCGGTTGGTTGGAGGGTATTATTATTATTGCAATTTGGTTTGTGCCGTTATCTGGTCTCTCTATCATCTCTTTGCTGTCCTCAATTTGCCATTACACGCCACCCATTGCAATAGAGCCCTCTGCGTGCCGGTTTTCGCTCATATGTACTTACATAGTGGGATGATGATGATAACAAACAGTGTGATATCAACGACAGACTTCTTTTTCCACTTGATCCATCCTACTGCTGCAATCCTATTCCATTCCTCTCGTAATTGTTATTTACTAAAAACCGTTTTTTAGTGGGAGAGACATTACATTATTTTCAGATGAGTGGGAATACGTAAATACTACAGATTGGTCATTGGTTGAGACTGTAAACAAACCACAAAGGAGAAATTGAGGCAATAAATGTTTTGTTATGTCTTTGGAAGCACTATTCAAATACATATATACGTGCATATATGTACATGCGTAGGCAGTCGAAAAAAAACTGAATGACAAGACACCTACTACACACTTACTGGTAATAGCATAATTGCATATCAAGTGTCAAAATAAAATTGTATATTGATTATTTGTGATAATAAGAAGCTAAACTTTAAAAAACCAACCACAAGGAATGACCGTGTCTTCCAAGAGCAGGAATATTATCAGTGCTTACTTTTGAAAAAAAGTTCAATAAGCTCAACGTGAACATTGTATTAGTAGCCATATTACTATGTATGCCTTGAAAATGTTGATGCTCTGCTTATGAATTATTACTGCACGATTGTCAACTTGGAATTGAAAGAAATGTGTCGTCGTCGCACAGTGGTTCTGCAAGTCGAATTCTGCTAGTCTAAACTAGAGCGTAGGATAAATATACACCATCGTCGTCCGTACTTTCTTTTTATATTTATTCTTTATCTTGATTGCTATTCATATTTCAAGGCAACATTTACCATGAGAGTGAGTGCCAGTGAATTATTTATGTGTCCGTTTTCGTCTTCGTGGTCATTTCATGAAGAGGAGAGAGGTTTTGAATTTCTTAAACTGCTGAGTAACGGCTAATGATTCGAGTTTATTTACAAACCCACTACCTCTCATTTGAGCACTGTGTACGTATATCGTGCACTGTATTCGAAAGCAATAAAGTTATGAAATTAGAATCGAGAGTTTATTTCAAAGTTTATGGTTAATAGTTTTAGTTTAGTACTTATAGCGTATGGCATGGCTTCTAAATACTTATGTCCCAAGTTGGGATGATGGTGTCTTGTTGCATGACTCGCTGTCCTGTCGATCGCAGAATAAGTAGGCAGGACAAATCAATTTTCTATGTGCATAGGCTCACCATAAGTATTATCAAGTGCTCAATTCAATTGTCTCGCAAGGAGTTTTAGGCCGGCCTAAAAAATATTCTAGATGTTTCTTCGTCGTGAACAATGTTATTATGATTAATTAAATTATTATTAGGTGGTTCCTTTTGAATATACATATAATCTTCCAATGAAATCTATACCCTACACAGCTAAATTATAAGTTTGAAATTTAAATTTAGAATAGAAATTTCTATTCTAATTTCAGTAATTTCCCAACATTTATGTTGGGAAATTTTATGTATCTATTAAAAACGTTGCATTTTCAATGTACACATAAAGTGATGTTTTTAAATAAAACCTACAGTGCAGACTCTATATAGCCCGAGTCAGGGACAGAGTCCCTGACTCGTTAAGTCAGGCTCCGCTTCTAAATTTTCAGTTAGGAACTAATTTTCTAAATCCAGAAGTGGTTGTTGGCCTCCATGACAAATTTCGGATGGAAATAACAAGTTTTAACGGCATGGGTCAGCCTTCAGGGTCACTCTGGTTGCAATTTACTCACTTTTAACTTCATATTATTTAATACGAAGCCTTTAACTATCACCGTGCCGGAGTTCATCTTTTTAAAACAATTTCTAAAAATCGGTATGGGTCATCCCATAGGGTCGCTCCAGATATGAATTTTACCAATTTCATGTCATATTCTTCTATTAAGACCCATTAGCAACCTCTCTACCAAATTTCGGCTTGTTATGACGATTTTGAAAAATCCGTATGGGTCACCCCCTAGGGTCCCTCAAGATAAAAATTTTTCCAACTTGAAGTCATTTTTATCTATTAGGAGCCATTAGCAACCTCTGTACCCAATTTCAGCCTTCTACGACAATTTTGAAATTTTGGTGCATAATACCCCACCCACCTAGATGACCCCCACTGGTCAACCACTTGACCGATTTCGCCCATCTACGAACTCGTTTCCTAACTTTGTCCAATAAGCATATGGTAAAAATTTCAAGTCAATCGGTTCTGCCGTTTTCGCTCTATCGTGCCGGACAGACGGACGGACGGACATGACGGTTCCATAAGCCCTGACTCGGGCTAAAAATGCAAACTACATCTTACAAATTGGCTGATTCATGTTCTTAACGACAGGACAGGAGTGATGATGTCATTAATACTTGCATATACTCGGAATGATGAACGTGACTCCTTGCTTGCGTAATTAAGTCAAAATCTCATTTGGTCCGTTTGCAATTTTATTGCAGTGACCTCATCCATTGTCTATTCACTGTAGTGTTGAACAAACACCAGGTATTATTATAATCAATAACATCCAAACCAATATAGCTCATCATTTCACATGATATATTGTATTATAAGTTACTTCAACGTTGCATTAAATATTTAAAAATCATCTTCTTGTCTATGCATACTTATGAAATATGTTTTCAGTATAAAATGGCACGATTGGTACATTTTATGGTTCATGGGAGAAGAACGCAACTACTTTTCTTTCTAATAATTAGCTGTCATGAATTTATATTCGAGAGGAAAGTTAATTTAGTCACAGAATTTGAGTAGAGTTTCTGAAAGGACGAGTAATGTGAGGAATAATAAAATGAGGCAGCAGCAGCAGCATCAAATAGCAACCCAACTCGTCGTCAAAGCTATATTCGCAACTCGAGTTAAAATCCGTTGGTATAGCATAATTCGGCTAATGTGTTGAATTAACGTAGTTGAACGTTGAATAGAATTTAAATGATGTAAAGGGAATGGATAGATTCATCGCGTACGATCCGATCCTATTTTAAACTGCTGGAAATATGGTTCCAGTTAGAATTGCAAATAAATTGGCAGACCGCATATCTGGATTATTCAATCAACTACTAGTTCTTCTCGCTCTACTCTTCTGGTTCCCCTTCCTCCCAAATTTATCAAAAAGTCCAGATAAACTATGCGGCAAAATGATTCTAATAATGTGGCTAAATCGGTTTCTCGTGCTGTCGTCAAAGACTTGTGATAAATGGGCTTTTCACAAATTGGGAAACCACGTGTCCCTGATTTATTAATTAGCCATACGTCTTTCTCTACGAGGTCTTCTTACTAACGACTTTTTCAACATTTGTCAACAACTTTCCTATGCAGTTTCATTTGCTCTTCGGTTTCGCTGGAAGAAAAGCATAAATATCTACACACACACACATACAGCACGGCACAGAAGCCTTTGGCCATCACTTGAAAGTGCGTTCATGGAGCTGTTTAATGTATGGTAAAGGATTTCCTAAAATGAATGAAACGAAAATTGACAGAGGAGAACTTCATAAATTGGAATGATGTATGTATGAAAGCAATGAGCTTGACGAATATCAGTAGTAAATCGTCCATTTGTATGAACGTACTTATTTACTAGGGAAGGAATATTCATAAAAGGATACATTTCCGGCTTTAAAACTGAATGACAAAATTAAGTAAATATGCAAAGACATCATCATCCTCACATTCATTTATTCTGCTGCATCGTCCACATCACCTTTGTTTTTACAACCTCATCACCCACCCACCACCACCTCCAAAAACCAGGCACGATCTATGACACATTTGTACTCTCGACTCCATTGCACTGCACAATTCTTGAATTAATATTGATGACTAACAAAAGCACTAATTGTGTTGGGCTAGCCAGGTTTGTTTTGCATATCTTTTTTTATTTCCGCTCCGATCCATACTAATATCGAATGTCTAAAACCTTATATCTATACACACTTGTTATCAAATGCATAAATTTGATACGCCACCAAGCACCACCACTCAATCAACCAGAAAGAACCACCAGCCATCCATATTCCATACATAACTCTGTTACTTACTTACTGCCGTATTTATTTGCTCTGATATTTATTCTCAGATTGGCTTGTGCTGCTAAAGTCATTTCCATTTCCAGTTTAGTTTTTAGGTCCATGCAATCTGGCAATCATTTTATATTACGTTCATTTAATATTATGAGTTTGGCCAGATTAGTCGAGTTGAATATTGGTCTGAATATGTATTTTGTCATATATGTACCTGCTTCTTTGATTGAATGGAATGGTGCAGAGAGGTTGTTAAAATTATTATCAACCGGGAATTGATTAGATAAGCCAATCCATAGCCTGACCTGACAAAGATTGCTCCGTATATGCATATTTCATTAGAGAGAGATATTTTAACTTTTAGCCTCAGAGTGGTAGATTTTAAATGGCTAATGCGTTGATTGTTGGTACAATAACTTTTGGCAAAGTTGAAATTTCCTGTCAAACTTCCTCCAAAGTAAAGTACGACAAAAGCCAAATCCGTTAAAGAGAGAGAGAGAGGTGAGACTTAAAGCGTCCGAATTGAGTAGCGTGTGCATAATTTTATTTTTTATCATCTGTCCAAATTTAGAGATTTCTTACGGAATATGGGAGTTTCTCTCCTCCTCCTGCACACAGAGGTGGATGGATGGATGTTATTGTTGTGATAGATTTGATAAAGAAACTCGAGATGCATAAATAAAACCATTTGCAATTTGCGAAGGCCAACTTTTCATCCCGTCAGATTCGACATCAGCTGCAAGTGTTCCACCACGAGCATAAATACGTATGTACCATTGCCATTGAATCATCCCACCTCGATGCAGATGTTAACTTACCTACACAATTGCTTATATAGGATAAAAAACAGCAATACTTTATCCTCACCCGTTCTTACTTATTATGCCGTGATGGTGACGGTTGGGTCATTGTACGGAACCACTACATTATTATGTGAAGTTCTTCTTCTTAAATCTCGCCATGCATCTTCAATCTCTGATTCTCTCCCCTGAAGAATCAAATCAACTTCTTTTCTTGCTGCTTCAAACCTCAGCTTCAGTCTGGCTAGAGCGTAAAATAAGTTTAGACTCCACACTTTGCCTAAAGCAACAACACCTCCTCCCTCTTCCTCACATCCTCTTTTTCTTCGTGGTCCTCCAGCCGTTTATTTATTCCACTAGAAAACTTGAAATCATCATTTGCATCAACTTGCCAGTTTTACCGGTGGCTGGCTGGCTACATAGTACATACGGCAAGATGATGATGATGGCTTTACCTGGTTGCCTTATCATATCATTGCCATCCATTCTTTCTTTCATTTCGATTTCTACGTGCAAAAGGTGCTCTCACAGTAACACGCATTTGTGGCTGGCTTGTGGCTGTTGTGGGGCCCATTTATGCATGCGGCTAACTTGCGAGGGTAGAAATCCCAATCTCCACAGATTTTAAAATCGAGCGTTGCGTTACGTTGGTTTGCAGACAAATCTGTTCATGCATATATGGAACGTAAATCATTCGCCATACTGTATCTTAAAAGCGCTGTTCACTTGCTTATTACTATACCAGACAGAACTGCGAGCTTCATCATATATGCATGCCTTGTTTACTCGAACAAACTATACGTAAGTAAGGATGATGATGATGAGATATTAGCAGTTTGCATGAGGACGTTGAAAAATAACTGGATTTTACATTTGCAGTGAAAATGTAATTTGCATTGAAATCTGCAAGCAGGATTTGTTTCAGTGCAGTTTCACATTTCACAATGGTGGATTGCAAAAGTGTGTATTTAAGTGCTGTGTGCGTATTGTATCATTTCCACTACTATTCTTGTGACTCACACCACCGGCAATAAAACCTTGTTCAGTTACGTATTATTAATATTGCCTGTCAAACATGTTCCAATTGCTTCATAAATTATTTATTCTCTGTAAAGAAGGACATTTGTCAACTGCGTGTTTTGTCGTCGTCGTCGGCGTCATCCACCTCCACTCCACCGCAACCGATTTGCCTCACTTATTTGTCGTGCTGCGTTGCTTGCCAGAAATGCAAGTTTCCAATTAAGAGTTCGAGTAGGTAATTTTGTCGATCAACATCAACAACAATAAGTTAGGAGAAAAAGGGTTTTATAAATTATTGCAATTGCTCCGACAGAATGAAAGAATAATAATTCATGCTTTAAACTTGTTCAAACCCAGAGGCTCAGAATTGCTCAAGTTTACTTAGTTTGGCAAATAACTTTTTGTCTGAAAATAATATTTGCAGCATTTCTCCCCTCAATTTTGTTCGTATGCATGCATGCAGTCCACTCCATTAACTCCAGGGCTAAACTAGCAAAGTTTATTTAGAACAATAAATATTGCGAAAATTCAGCCTTGTTGTTTGGATAGGAGTTGTGTTTCGATTGGGTGATAAAGTTAAACTACAATTCATTCATTCCGCTTTCATGAATATGCATTAATTTCCTGTTTTATCTATTCTAATTAGTCTTGGTAATCTGTCACCGATATCACATGACTTATTGGCTGCTGGTTGGAATTTTTGAAGTCGCAATGAATATACTATGGACACACAACTTTTAGATTTAGTTCCACCTTTACATATTTATACCCATAGTTGATAGTGCACATAATATTTTACTTATTAGTTAGGTCGAGATTAAATTCCCATAATTTGCACTTTGAGAAGAAGGAGAGGGGCTACATATACATATGTATGCATGCAGTTTGGCTGTTTGGTTGGTTGGGTGAAAAGTGGAACTTTGCTTTTATTCTCACTGTGCCGTTTCAACTCTGACCTAAGCTCATTGTTGAATGTTGGCAGGAAAGTTCTTTTAAGTTTATTCTCTCGTACTTTGATTAACTGCCCGAGTCTCGTTCTACGATTGCGGACACTTTTGCCAGGTCTAAAATTTATTACTTTCTCCCATTTTCTTGCTCAATTCCACTCTATTTTGGAATATCCACGGGGAGAAGGTTCGAACGAGCCAACATGAAGTAATTTTACTATTGTTGATTCTTTCTCCTTTTGCTAATCATGGTAAAGTGAGTCCTTCAAATGGGAAAATTATGAGCTTTGACAATTTCATATTATTCCACTTCCACTTTCCTCTATTACTTGTGTACCTTTTCGAGTCGACTAATTCAGTGAATGCTTGGTTCGATATAATGTTTCTCGCCAAATGAATACTTGCCGTGTTTTTTTGCAGTAAAGTCAAATATAAACCCATGATCCGTATTCTGAAATTATGCATATTGCCTCCGAAATCAGTGCGATTCAACAATTAGTTGTACAACATAACACCAAGAAAAAGTAGTGAAATTGCATACTTTTTGACACATGATTAATTAATAATGTTCAATCAAGGATTAAATTGCTTCTGAAATGTGAAAATTTCGAATCGGACCTAAAAGTGTAACGTTTCTTCGACACGCAAATAATTTCTTAACGTCCTTATTCATAATAAACACACATGTAAACTTTATTATTAACATCTTAATTTTAATTACAGGTGCCGACATTTGATCTGGAATAATAAAATGTACGAGCCGTGACAAAAATACTACTGGAAACAACTTCGTGATGTCGTGATTCCCATTTGTGTTCCATTACATACACACTAGTTTAAGTTTATATAACAGTTTGTGACGACTTTACAATGACTTCCAAGTCGTATCAAACAAGACATTGTAAACTTCGTAAAATGTTGTGGACGGTTTCTCCCGCAGTTTTAGTTATAATTTCAATCGGATTTACTGCCCCAACGGAAGCCTTAAATCAAGGTGAGAAGTCTTTTTGGTATTATTATTATTCTTCAAGTGCTTTTATGCTTGGCTCCTGATTTAAATCATTATTTATTGTCATGATTGTGCATATAAAGACATGACTCCACTCTACGCCATTACACCCGATAAAAATGTACATATGTAGCCGTAGCTGGCTGCTACATTCGCTATGGCATCATCTCACCTGTCTCAAATTTTGAGTGCTGGTGCTGCTGCTTATTTTTATTGGCCAGCAGAGAGATAGCCGAGGTAGGAAGAAATGCACTCTAGTTCTTTTGTACAAACACCTTTTGCCCACTTGAGAGGAACAACGTGACTCAGAAGTCAAGAAAAAATGTCCGACTTGCATTATCATGTTTTGAACATGAGCACCAGAAGGGGCATTCTTCTTACCCTCTTCTTCTACCTCACCTCGGTCGGACCATGCACTGATGTACATATATTTGTATGTCTCACTGCTGAGCTTGAAAAGTACCCCTCCATGTAAGTAACTGGCTTCTTAAAATTTTAGTTAGTTACTCACTCCTCAGTCACCACGGCCCTTCTTCTCTCCATTTTACAAGACAAAGAAATTGAATTTTCACTCGTTCAAGTGATGACTACCGGCTTTTAGCACTCGGTTGTTCCTACACCCTGAAACAACCCTTCAATATTAATAGAGTCGTCGTTTTATCAACGTGCATTAATATTTCAACGCTTCACATGTTTCATTCTCTGAACATGCATCAATCAGATTTCATGCTTTTCACACAATTTCATTGAAGGACTTGTGGTGACTGTTGATCCTCTTGTAATAAAAGGATGGGGTGTGACATAAAACATTAAAAATCCATTAATAGAAATGTGGTGGAATATTTAGATACAGAAAGATCCAATATTTTTCTAAAATATATTTATTATTGCTAGAAAGCAAGTCCCTAGTTTTAGGGATTTTAAGGGATGGGATATTTTTTGTTACTTCGACTTATTACAATGCCCATTATATGTCTGTATTTTTCTCAAATTGGACCACTGATTCACCGTAACAGAAACGTAATTGTTCCGGTAACAGTTAGCATTCAGTCGTAACAATAATTTTACTCATTTCATCCCCATGATTGTTGAAAAATCTCTTAGGCATCGTAATAGAATCAAGCTTTTAAGTACATTTAGCCATGGCGTGCATATAATGGGAGAAGACACAAAGCTTGTTTCTTATGGAGAGGTCGAGTAGCTCTACTTTTGCTTTGTGGGGAAAAATAAAAATAAAGAAACGTGACGAAAACTGAAACAAAGGATTTTGGGAGTTTTTGGTGAATAAAGGTAATAAAAAATTAAGTGGGAGAAAAGCGAGTGTATCAGGGAAGAGAATGGGGAGACGGCATATTGTTGTTGGTGAGAGGAGAGGGAGGGGATCGAGACGCTCTCTCTGACTCTCTGTAAATGAAAGCATTTAAAAGTGTCAAGTGTGACAAGGAGTTAAAGGCGAATCTGGCGAGAAGATCCGGACTATATGTAGGCCTAAAATTAAGGGAAGCCAACCAAAAGATGTGGGCATTCAGTGGAGAGGGGTGAGTGCACAAAAGAGTGCAAAGGTAACACTTGTATAGAGATATGTATAGGAGGCCAGAGGGGGATGCAGCATCCCACTCCATACATAAATACATATATGCGACTGCATGCACCATAATCATAATGGACTCGGATGGAAGAAGACCCTTTAATGGTTGACACGACCAAGCAGTTCTTTGAGCGTCAGTCGTAGTGGTAGTTAGTTAGTTACATGGATAAAAGCAGTACGTTGGTGGGTTCATTCGAGGCCTCGTTCCAAGTGGAGTTGAGTTCCTTCGAAAGTTCTCATAAAGTCGGAGAGTGAGGAGGAAAGGAAGCCAACTTCATATAATGTAACGACTTTTAACTAACTGACCCCGCACTAAAATAACCGTCATTCCCTTTGTGGGATTTTCCTTTGCTGCTCTATCTACACGGCATTGGAGCAACTTTACCTTTTCACTGGGTCGTATTATGTGCGTTTGAGACTGGAGGCAACAAGAAGCGATAGGACGAAAGAGGGTTCAGTCACAAATATCTAGCATCGACTTGGAGGAATTGGTCTTTGTACATCATATTCCTTCAGGTGGTATGGATGGTGGACTTTGCCTTCTTCTTCTGGTGTGCAGGGAGGGAAGAAGTCGTCGTAAATGGCAGGGGCTGGGTTTTACTTGACTTTACTTCTCTCACTGTTTCTGTGAAGACTTAAAACTTCCTGCTCTGTCAGTGTTTGATAATAAGGAGGTTACTCACTTGGAGAGTGCAAAGGAAACGGAATTTCTGAGCTTGGATGACTATGCCACTGCTGCTGCTCACTCCCATCATGGTCATAATAATAGTTGGTGAATCAATGCGTTCTACAATGCCGTAGTAGCTCAGTTTCCACTGACTACTTACTTATAAACGAATAAGAGATGCCAGACCAACCAAGAGTGGAGTAAGTTAGTAAAGCTTTTCTGGGAGAATCTCTCCATGGGAGAATGAGTCTCTTAATAAGTTACACATGAAAGTTTCTCCCGGTGTCTCCGCTCCTCCATGCTTGGATGCCCTGAGTTATAGCTTAGGTGATAGAAAGAGGTATTTCATTAAATATTTCCTCAGACTGAGAAATATGCAAAATGTGTGCGCCAAAACCATCCCTGCCCCTGTTAGTTAACCACGTTTTAAATATAAGCTATGATAATATGGGAAAGTATGAGCGGGGGAGAGACAAGGACCTTTGGAAGCTCAGCCACCCGTATACTGGCGTATTTTGTACCAATAACAGTGGTCACAATATATATCTATGCATATATATCTGCATGATTTACTATGAGAGAACTTTTGTTCGTTAATAAGTCTTAAAGTGCGAGGCGAGTATAAAGATAATAACTTATCATTTCCTAAGTATATCTACGGGGAGAAAGTGAGACGAGTTTGGAGTAATTATGATATTCTAAAGATGATGCCACCAGCATTAGGGCTGTCAAGGGATTCTCTTTTGGAAGAGATAAGGCCATGAGTAAATACTGTGGGGCTATTGATAATGAAGTAAAACTGCTGGAGACCATTATGTTTGCAACGACGAGTGTTTCCACCATGTGACAGACCCTTTTTGTGTCTTCTTCTTCTTCCCTCGTTACTTACACTGTCCAATTCCACCAATTTTGGAGGAATTGGACCTGCTGTTTCCTCCTCAGTTTCATTATATTATTATGCTTGTACTCCACAATAATATCAACTCGATGGTCTGCGTCTCTCCTGGAATGGAACATGCCATCATCCCGATCACATTCTATTTCTGGTCCAACAAAGTCCAACTGAGCGACCAAAATGCACTCTTGTTCATGTGAGACGATCCCCGAGTTTGATAGTTGGTAGTGGTAATATTATTTATTTATGGTCGCTCAACTAATATAAATGCGGACATAGTCCAGAACTCTCCTTCTCTCTCCAGGAGGAGCATGTCAGAGTCGACCAGATGCTGCTTCAAGCTCGTCGTCGTCGTCGTCCTCATGTGACATTTTTAATACCTCTGAACTCCGAGTTAGAATGAGATCTGAAAAGTACGGGGCAAGTATTCACTTATACTCTCGAACCAACTTTTTTCTTGTGTTCTCCTGGTTAATAAGTTGGTGTGATGGTATGCAACACTTGACCATTCTCGTTTCCGATGCTATTCACTTTTTCCGCTGACTACTGAAAAATTCTTTCTAGTTTCAATAATCGGCATCCTTCTTTGTTTTATACCCCAAAAGAAGCCATTCCGTTTTAACTGCGATGGGAAGGAACTCTATCAATTTGGGTTTAAAGTGTGGTCCATAATCGCCAGATGCATCTTTGTCATCATAATTTATGCCTCCAGAGTTGAATTTCAAAGTATATTTGAACCTAAAGGAGGGAAGAGCTTGCATGTTACATACGTCAGCTTGAGAACCGTTGATAAAAACATTCCCGTCCTTTCTCCCTCTAATTTGATACTGTTGAAAGAAAATGTCACGGGTGGATGGGTGAACGATTTTCTAACATCACTTAACACTGGTCTTCGTCTCTTGTCTTTTCTGGTGGATATCTCGATGCATGACTAGAAAAGACAGATTTTTGTGGAGATTATAGTGCATGAAATTCGAAATAACCAGCGGAATGATATTTTGATGACAGCGTTTGATAACGAATTAGTAACAGTCAAGGGGGAAATGCAGTAATGATCCAGCAGCAGCAGCAAGTTTTGTTCTTTGAATTTTTGAGGTTTCATACCATTTTTTCATGGTCAGTCTAATTGTTGGTGTGAGGGTTCAAAGGTTCTCGGAACGTGCTTTCGTGACACAGAGAATGAGAAAAAGATTTGGCTCTTCCTGGTCATTATTTGTTGCTGTGTGTTCAAGAACAAGAAGCAGGATGAGGGTACAAAAATGTTTGACGATTTAGTCATTGTCTTCCATTTTGCTTATCAAATATATCATGGTCTCCAAATAAATCCAAGTAATCCGCTTATGATTATTATTATTTCCTCCATTTCCTAATTTAGATGCGCCACAATACTGATAGATTGGCATTATCGGACATTTGTTCTCCCGATATGTATTTATGTACAACATGGATAGACAAGTGGAAGTATTAAGTCTCTAATGTATCTCCAAATTGCCATTTTAGATCGTTCAACACACTTCAGTTCAACGTCGTTGTGCATTCAGATGGAAAATTATTTTTTCCTACTTGCTAATAAATGCTAATTGCAAAGGTAGAGAGATACAAACTTTTGGCGAGGTGAGAATCTGCACATCAATTTCTCTAACCGTTCTCCATATTGAGAGCGCCGTGCCGAAATAAGTATATGTGGACGGCTCTCTGTTTGACAACCTAGTTTAACGACGGAGGTGATATATGAGACGTAATAATGAAAATGATTTCTTTTGGATTTTGGCGAATTTTATTTTGAACGAAATCGTAAATCGTATCGTAACTCGGCGTCTTGGGAGAACGTCATT